TCGAGCGGGCTTGTAGTGGCGCCCTCGGTCGGGGCTCGCACGCACGGCGACGAGCGTGGCTCGACCGTCTTCCCGTGTGCTGACGAGGCGGCGGCGGGTCATTCTTCCCACGCGCGGTGGTGTCGATGGTGGTGAAGAAACCAAGTAGGTCCTCTCCTTCTCCATTCGTTCCCCTTCTAGGGTTAGGGTTAGGGTTAGGGTGATTCAACTGGATTCATTTCTTTTGATTCATCTCCTTTTAATTTATCTTGGATTTGTACCCCAAAATCTAGATCTACATGCTAGGGTTGGTGACTGATACCATTGTTAAAATTACAGGATCATTAGATGTAGATCTAGGGGTGCTAACTTGACTAGAATAGGATAAACATGCCCTAGACACATGGACTATGAGATCCAAGAGGGAGAGGGGAGCAGAGGTACCGACCATCGGAGGGCTTGGTGGAGCTAGAACCGTCCTTCGCGTCGGTAGAGAGGGCGGTGAAGAGGTGGCGCTCTAGTGGCGATGTAGCGGTGAAGTGGTCCAACGGCGATGGTGTCCCGGTGATGGTGCTTCCCATCGCTGGCTGCGGCCCTCACTTGATCGGGTTAGGTTTTGTCGGTGGATGTGGCGGCTCACAGTGAATCTCGTACTGAGAGCCGCTGGCCCCCACCTCTCTTTATAGCACAGTGCGACGGGGGCCCACCAACCATGTATGGTTGGCCGCCCCCGATCAGGGCGTGAGGTCAAGGCTCAACTCGGCCGTTGGGCCGAGCTGGAGAGATCAACACTAACAAGAACGTGTCGCGGTCGTGGCTTAGGAACTCGGACGCATCCAATGGCAAGAGGTGGAGGTTGACATGGCGGACGTGGGGGAGGGCAGTGAAGAGGATGCTAAAGTGGTCGGCCTCGACGATAGAGACGGTGGGAAGAACGGTCACCATGGAGAAGTCGACGTCATCATCGTGCCCCACGAGAAACACGATGAAGCGGAAGAATGGGGGGTGGTGGCCCATGCCGGCGCTCGAGATGAACATGACATGCGGGCGTGATGCACCACCATCGAGCTCTCCCAGGCTCTTTGTTGCCGACGTGGCCATGGTAGAAAGCTTGGTTGATGTGCGGTGGTGAACTATGGAGCGGGGAGTGGGGTGAAGTGGCAATGGAGAGTTGGTAGTCTTCTTTGAAATCTGGACTTCCCACATGACTTAACAGATGATGTCGCTGTGACCTGTGAGTACCCTACATTATTGGTAGGACGTGCCACGTGTTGTTGGCAATGGAGAAGAAGAGCCGGAGCATGTACGTCTTGTCGGGCTTCCCCTTCAGCTTGAACGTATCTGCTATATTGTAACATAATTGGTTTTTGTCGATTGTGTAGTTAGATTGCCCTGATATATCGTGATCCTCTAATATAAATAGAGGTGCAACCTTATCCCATTAAGAAACATTTCTCAAACATGATCTACAAGCTTTCCACGATATTGGACGACTTTCCATGGAGTTAAACTCAATTCGGGCTCGGACTAGAAAAAAACGGCTTAGCTGGTTTTCAAAACCTGCTAAGCGGTTTTTGCGCGAGGCAAAAACCTATGCAAGCCGTAATTTCTTTACCCCAACTTCAAATTGGACGATCTTTATACATTTTTTGATCAACTCAACGAAAGGAATGCAATGATGCAGTCCATTCTTCAATTTGGAGAAGTATACAAATCCGTCTTAGCCGGTTTTGAAAACTGTTGAATCTATCAACACCCCAAAATCTTGTTTTCTTATGTCGACTCCAAACTAGATAATCCATATATGTTTCTCCGATCATCTTGACAAGAGGAACTCAATAGTGAAGTATGTCCACAGTGCATTTGACAAAGTCCCAAAACCAATTTAGCCGGTTTAGGAAACCGTTGGGATCAATCTGTTTTGTCGATATTTTGTTGTCAACACTCCTTTAGAACCCTATGTATCATTTCTCTTTGGCACGCTGTGCCATTTCTCTCTTTTTTTAGAATTACACAGTACAACGCAGACGTCCACAACACGTATGCACACTCACCTCTATGAACACACGTACGTAAACTCTATCCTATGAGCACATTCGAAGGACTGAGCCAACAGATCTCGAGATTCACGAAGTAACCATTGGCGCCTCGCTGTTGATGGTGATGTCGCCTTTTCTCTTTTGACTTGCAAATCACTTAGTGAAACCAGGTTTCTCTTCTTTATTCTAATTAGTAATAAATCCACCACTACATACATAGAAAAAAAAGGTGATAATTCCACCTCTCATTTATAGACAACCTCAACTTTCATAGATAACTTTGGATAGATTTCAACCTCGAACTTCAAAAAGTCGGATAACTTTGGCCTTCAACTCTTGAAAAAGTTCAAATTTCAACTTTACGGCGATTTTGCGTATGAAAAAAAACTTTTGATATTTTTTAGGATCTCATTGCCTTTGAATTAGAAATTTTATATTATTTTTTTATAGCATTAAACGTCCTCTAAATGAAAAAAAAGGAAAACCTCAAATAATTTTATATGTCAATTGTAGACTCATGAGATCTACAACTTTGTAGTTTTGAGTTTTTTCATTTGAGGACAAGATGCTCAAAAAATAATATAAAATTTCAGCACTATAATAATCGCTAACTAGCGCTTGCGTTAGAGCACTAATATATTATTTATATGGAGTTAAATGAAAATATTTTTTATATCAAAGTTGTAGCTCTCATCGAGATCTACAACTTTGTAGTTTTGAGTTTTTTCTTCATTTGAGAACGTTAAGATGCTTAAAAATAATATAAAATTTCGAAATCTCCTAAAACATATCAAAAGTTATCTTCATCACGCAAAACCGGGTTTTATATTGAAATTTGAACTTTTCAAGAGTTGAGGCCAAAGTTATCCGGTTTTGAAGTTCGAGGTTGAAATCTATACTTTCGCGATAGTTGAGGTGTAAATTATATTTTACCCGAAAAAAAATGCACCCGATATTATATATGATGATGGAGAGTTAACTTCAGCTGCTGCATAAGCCACGCACTGAACTATCCACTATTAGCCTTAGCAACAGAGGTAACAAATAACATGATCTAAACAAATATAAAAAAAACTGACTAGTGTGAATCTTTTTACCAATTACCATGGCCAGTGCGAAAGGGTTTCTTCCAGAAAAAAAAAAGACTGCAAATAATGGAAAAGGCGACTTTTGTGGCTGTGCTATGAATTTTCTCTTGTGTGTGTTTTGTGTACTGTATCTGCACCGTAGTAGTATTGGTGTAACCTTGATTCCTTACTGTTCCTTGGAAGTTTTGTCTGGTTGTCTCTTTCAAGGGTTCACGTCGACGACCGATAGCCAGCCGGGTGTAAAAGTAAAAATATTCCTCGGACACTCTGATCTCTGCATTTTGTCTTGCATGAACTAGTGGTCATATTTCAACGTTAATACTTTATTATGAGTGCTACTGCTTGAAGCATTCGGCTGATAGTGATCTTCGTGGCTTTTTGCGTACAGTGGCAATGGTTTAATTTACGACACTGCTCCCAACTTTAATCAATAATTTATAGTTAGCCCTTTGATTATTTATTATTATTATTATTATTATACAAATTTTATCCGGTTAGATTTATGATTAAATATACTATCCAACTATCGTACATTTATAAATATAAACAATATAATATAAAATAAATAAAAAATTAAAGTCTATTTTAAAATACCGTGTCATGTCAAGCTAGTCTTAGAGTAAGGTTAATAATATAACCTTCTGTAGGCTGCAAGTTATCAATACACTCATATAATAGTTAGCTCAACTATGATCTCACTTTTTTTTCTCACAAAGTTTCTTTGTTGTGCATGAGCTGACCATAAACTTACAAGTTACGGCTCAGCTCTCTTCTCTTTCCTCCTCTCTTTCCTCTCACTCTCTTTCACTTCCACCTAAGCATTTAGCCTACTAACAACCCCTTACTATACTTGCTTTTATAAAAGAAAATAGAGGTACTAATCGGTAGTTAAAATCTATTAGCTCTTGTTAACCTATTATCACAACATGGGCTGATTTTTAACGTGTAATTTAAATAGGACCTAAACTATGAATTTATATTCCATAATAACCAAGTAATGCATGATGCTAGTTTGATCAAACTAAGAACAGTTTGACCTATGAGCAGGATAATTTCAGAATCAAACAATTGGTGTTTTGTCTCTGGTTGGTCGGTCTACTTTGGAAGAAGGAAGAAAAAAAAGGCACCTGGACACCTCAAAATCACAGCTCGCCCACCATCCACTTTACGTACTTTGGTACTCGTACCAAATTTCCACCCCTTTCTTTTTCATTCGTCCACATAGAAATTCCCGTCCCGCAAGCAAAGCAAAAAGAAAAAAAACGAAAAAACAAAAGGCAAAAAGAACACACTCAAAGCAGAAACCCGTGCACCGCGTCCACCGCGCACCGCCCGAGGACCGGCCGTCCTCAGGTCGGCCCCACCTCCCCCGGCCCCCGCGCGCTCCTGCACGTCCACCGTGGACCGTCCGCACACTCACGCCCCTCTGCCCGCCTCGAACGGGACGACGTGGTGGTGCAGCTGCTGCTGCTGGCGCGTGGGCCCCACATAGCCCGTGGTCCCCACGAGCAGTGGGCGAAGCGACGCGAAAGACCGCGGGATAAACGCGACCCCCGAGAAAAATTCGGTGGAAGGAAATTCCAGTTGCTCGTTCTCCTTCGCCGGTCCCGTTCCGTCGGCGGCCGGACAAAACCGCCAGATTGTTCGCTGGTTGGTTAAGTCCGGCTGACGTTGATTTGGTGGGCTGAAACCAACGAGCCAACAGCCTGTTTCTCGTCCCCGTGCGTCTTCTCCTCCCCCTGTTGCTTTTGCTTGCTTGCGGTTGCAGGCAGCCGCTGTACCTGGAGCGACCTGTAGTAGCGGGGGACGGGGGAGGGACTAGGGAGCGAAAGGAGAGGAGAGAGGTTTGGTGGTTGTTTGGTAGAGGAGAGTAATTGGTTGGCTCAGGGGGGAGATGGAGCGCAAGGTGGTGGCGGTGTGCGCGGTGGTCGGCTTCCTCGGCGTCCTCTCGGCGGCGCTCGGCTTTGCGGCCGAAGCCACCCGCGTCAAGGTGCGTCTCGCCGCCTCCCCCCTTCTTCTGCGCCAGCGCGGCGGCCGGTTATGCGCTGGCGCCGTTGCTGCCCCGTTCTTGAGTACAGTACGGCGATGGTCTTGCCTCCGCCGACTCCGAGTGGTAGATCTCGGTCGCTCCTGAGCGCTGGAGTTCTCGGCGGAGGAGCGGTCGGCGATTGGGTGCATCCTTCGGCCGGGGAGCCGAGTCGGCTGCGGTACTCTAGTAATTAGTACTGCTATTAGAGAGAAAGATTATTATGCTTGTTTGGAGTTATAAATAGGCGATCTTTACGCTTGCGCGTCGCGGGAGTGAACGGTAATGATCCTGAGTGTACCTAGCCGGTATGACCTATGATGCAACAAGGAATCGAATAAAACTTCCTTTCTTTTAGGTGTATGGTGAGAGGTGAACGAAATCTGTGAGCCAATGGCCTTGTCATAGACATGGTTGGCTGCCATCGTGTGAGGTTCAGTGCTTCATTGGTTTCGTCTGGGTTGCAACTGATCCATCCCAAGTGGTTCAAATCAATCAGGATCTTCTGTGTTTTTTATTGCCTTTTTATTACCATTCTTCATCTTTGGCCTTTGGGGTCACGACGCCACATTGCCTTAGGATTTGATGCCAATTTGTTTAGCTGCATATACCTCGATAGAACAATGGTTCCAAGGTTTTCTTATTGCACTTTTGGTGAGGTAGTAGCTAAAATCATAGGTGGTGTGGTGCTTCACTACCTTGAGGTGGGATTCGCAATTGCTGCACGTCACCCCTGCATACAAATCCTAAGGCACATATGCTTGTCACAGGGTTTTTTCCCCTTCATTGAGGAAGGCACGTGCTAGTCTTCTACATTAAAATGCATTCGTTGTCACGTCTAATGGACACATTCATGTATGTTTATGCCAATTTGATTTATTTTTCAACCTAACTTACCATTTTGGAACTGGCAAATTTATTAACAATTGACTGTTTCACATTATGTGCTATAAAGAGATGTTCTGGAAATGGTAGTCATTCTTTTGTTAATAAATTGTACATATATTTGTGCTCATGTCCAGATGTAACTTGCTGTGAATCGTGCAGGTATCGGATGTTCAAACAAGCGGTACTCCTGGTGAATGCATATACCCAAGAACCCCAGCCTTAGCGCTTGGTTTAATATCTGCTGTCTCTCTTATGCTCGCCCAATCTATCATAAACACGGTCGCTGGTTGCATCTGTTGTAAGAGGCATCCTGTTCCCTCAGACACTAACTGGAGTGTAGCTCTGATCTCATTCATCATATCTTGGTAACATTCTGGTCTACAAGTTTATGATCGCTTTTGTTCTTCTCTCATATTTTGTAAACTTTACTTAGCCTTTTTGTGAATGGGTTTACCAATAATGGATGCTGAGTGTTGCTATGTCACGTTGAATGTCAAACTACACCTGAGTTCTTGGCTGCATTTGACTCGTTTCGTTATTTTTATTTTGCGTTAGTGAAGCAACCATTATAAAGAAATAGCGTAGCATTGACATATAAAGAGTCACATCATTTTCTTAAATACATTCTTTGATCTAGTAGCTGGCACACTGTTAATTGACTGATGTTTATTATATTCCTTGGAAGCCACGAATATGAGTAGTCCACATGCTGGATCCATATAATAGCTTTTGCATAGATCCCAAGCTTATAGTACCTGCAGTGAAATTCTACGTCTTCCTAGACAAGGATCTCATTAACTTGTTGGATTTAGTAACCGGTGATATATGTGTTTCTACTAGTTTTCTGAATACCAGATTTCGCTAATGTGCTAACCTAAGTATTGCTAAATTCCGCAGGTGCACTTTCATTATCGCATTCCTTCTCCTGCTGACTGGAGCTGCCCTGAATGACCAGAGAGGCCAGGAGAACATGTACTTTGGTAGCTTCTGCTATGTCGTGAAGCCAGGGGTCTTCTCCGGGGGAGCGGTGCTAGCCCTCGCCAGCGTGGCGCTAGCGATAGTCTACTACGTCGCCCTGTCATCGTCAAAGGGTCCTCCGCCGACATTTGCAACCCCGCAGAACCATGGCATCGCGATGGGCCAGCCTGTGATCCCGCAGCAGAGCAGCGAACCGGTGTTTGTCCACGAGGACACTTACAATCGGCGGCAACAGGTCCCGTGACCACACAATCCTGACCAGGATACCTCATGCAGCTGTGCTTGGTCTGTATAGGTTGCAGGTTAGAACAATAGCAATCACCATTGCTGTTAGCTAGATTTGTTTTTTTTTTTTCTTTCTTTCCACCCTCTTGTTTATCGAGCATGCCTGTTTCATCGCTATGGATGTTTGATTCTGAATGAACTGGGTAATGTTGAAGAGAGCCTGCTTCATGTTCAGAGTTTGTCTGTAAACGTGGAGGTTCTTTATGATGGGATGAATGAATACTGAATCATGGATGAAATTGCATCGCATTCGCATTCAGAAACAAGTCAAGAAGGGACTGTCGACGCCAGCTCCTCCCTGAACAGAGCAACGGCGTCACGGACGATGTCGCCGGGGCGCGTCGTCGTGGTGTCGAACTCCGTGACCCCCTCCGTGGCGTCGATCTGCAGCAGGTCGAGCTGGCTCCGCAGCAGGCTCGCCGGCATGAAGTGCTTCCCTTCCGTCGACCGCCGCAGCATCCGCTCGGCGATCACCTCCGCCGACGCCCGCAGGCACACGAACCGCACCCTGCAGGCGGCGTACTCCCCCGGCTCGTAGCCGCGGTCGGCGGCCCGGAGCACGTCCCGGTACCTGACCTGCAGCGCCGAGCAGCTCACGGCCACGTCCTCGACGCCGTCCAGCCGGTCCCGGATGGCGTCCCGCAGCGACTCCAGCCACGGCGCGCGGTCCGCGTCGGAGAGCGGGATGCCCTCGCTCATCTTGGCTGGGTTTGTGCACAAGTTGAGAGCAGAGGCCTTTCAGTTCAGCAGAAGTTCAGAGAAGGCAAAAGTGGCAGAACGCCAGAGGTTTCAGAAATGTGATGTGAATTGCGTGGCGGTGTACCTTTGTTTGCCTGGGAATGGTAGTCGTCTGCTTCGATGAAGCTGCAGCCCAGGGCTTCAGCGAGCATTGCCGCGACGGTTCTGCGAGTTCGCAGGCAAGAAAAGAAAAAGAGAGATTTAGATAGCGTTTGGTTCGGGTAAATGTCACTGGCAGAACGCCGAATGAATCTTTGCCGATTTGTGCTATCTTTAAGCAATTTTGACCGAATTCTTGAAGCATGAGCGTAGAACAGAGTCGGGATGATGAAGGATCTTACGATTTGCCGCAGCCGCTGACTCCCATGACCACGATCGCTAGCCCTGCAACCCAAGTTTTCCCAAAGGGAAGATCAGTTAGCATGAGCAGCCACCCAATCTCAACATATCCGGCTCTTGGCTGTTCATCGCAGCAGGTACTGTCAGCTCAGGATTCAGATCGCGAGCTTGCCTAGTACGTACGCACGAACAGCCGCTACGCGAGCAACGAGCAAATTCCAGACTGAATCTTGGTTGCTATTTTTACTTGGAGCACGCATGGAGGATGCAGCCTGCCGGCTCTGTAAGGAGCAGGCGTGGAGGCTGGTGCTGTGCTACTGACCTTGATGCGCGAGGGGATCGGAGCCGGCCATGGCGGGCGCTCCACCTCCTCCTGTGGATTCTCGAGTGGAGGACTAGGGAATGACCAGGCAAAGAAGCCGACGATGGCAACTCGTCGGGTTGAACGGGTCCATATTCTCATTTCCAGGTCGCTGACGTCAGCTAGAATGCATCCATTTTAAAGCATGCAGTTTTATTTTCTTTTCTTTGAAAAAGATCACAAACTTTTTGTAGTTTGGTTTGATGGACATTGTTTATTTTGTTTCCTTTGAAAAAGACCTTTACCTTTGTAATTTGGTTTAATGATACGACTAGCAGAGAAGCATGAGCCGTACACGAAACTGAATACTGGCGATTGCCATCTGCTGTCGCTGACTCAGAGCTTATCACACACAGCTTGTCCAACAACTAATCTGGTGCTAACAAAACATACAGAGGTATCTCAAAGTCAATTATAAACAGAACATACGGCGCCCTACCAAGAAACATATCAACGTTGCAAGAGAGAGCAGGTCCATCTGATCTAATGACCATTCTTTGGTTTAATTTTCCAATCCAGCCAAGCCAAAGCGGGCGCATACCAACAAGTAGCTGCCAGACTACGGCTACTTCCTAAACAACCCAGAGCTCTGGAGCGCTTTGCAGTACTCCGAGATGACAGGGGACTTCTTCACCATGTCCCAGATCTTCGCTGAGCTTCTCAGCCAGTCGCGCACCGAGAGGTTCTTCGAGAATGACCTCGCCGGCCATGACAGGATCTGTAGCCACACGAGTGTTCACGTCAGACTGACTCGACCAGGCCTCGAAGAAATGTGCCAAGCAGATATTACAAAGAGCTTAATGTTCAGCAACAAATATCTTTATTCGAATGAGTTCCAATTGATTGGATTTTTAATGTAACCTTAGCTTCTCAGAATTAACGAAACCAGTCCAGTTAAAAGCAGCAAACCAAGTAAGGGCATGAACAACCCACTGACGGGGGTCCATCTCTAAGCGCTTCGATTCTGTTGTACAGACATGTATAAAGACAGGTCATACAACCCAACAGACGGGGCTCTGTCTCTAAGCTGTTTAATGTTTTGCATGTAGCTAGGATCAACTATAAATAAATTTTTGCATACCATTGTATGGCTATTTGATAGAAAATATATGATAAGGATAAATAAGAGCAACATGATTACAATATTTGCCGTTTCCAAAATTGTCAGACTCAATAATTTGCCCTGAGAACAATTGAGATATTGGAGTGAACCTTTTCACCAGACAGTCATCAGACTCAAAAGGTTGCAAGCAGTGGCTAGTGGGTTTGCTTATGAAGCAGCAGTTCCTCTGCTCCATGACGCAAGGCACGACGGACGACAGTGGTGCCATCATGCAGCCTACGAATCCGGTGTGGACGCAGACAAGCTAGGCAGGCGACCTGTAGACGACGAGCAATACATGGATGCGCTGGGGCCTGACGAGGACCGCGGCGGCGCAGCCCTGCTCCTCCTCGGTCGCCTTGACTTGGCGAGGCAGGGCACCTCCCCGGAGCCGGCCGTGCGGCGCAGGGCTCTGCGGCAGCCTACGACGGGAGCGGACACCAGCGCCGGCGACATAGGGAGGTGGGGAAAGATTTGGCGCGAGATTTCCCTCAGCCGCGTACCGGAACCGCGTGCGCGTGCACTGGATCCGCGCTCTCGGCTTGGGGACGCCGGCGACCCGTACAACGCTGCTGGAGGCGGCGTCTCGGCCTCGGGCCACGCGACTTCCCCGTCGTCTCGCGAGACGACACAGACCCCGTCTCCTAGCATCGGCGGGGTGTTTTCTGCGAAATTTACGTCGTGGAGACGGGCTCAAGAGACCCGTTGTACATGCCCTAATGCTTCTCATGATTTGCTAGATTAGATGAAACTCTAGGGTTTAGGAAGGAATGGCTTGCCCAGACTTATTTACATAAGAAAATGTTGTGTTAGATTTTAATAGAATCTTAATCAGTCCCATGTAACTGACACATTTGCGAATCACAAGCTAGGGTTTGTAAGTCTATTGAATATTCCCTTCCTATTATGCAAACTCCTCAGTGTAGCAACCATACCTGATCACGAAGCATCCCTAGCATGCACGAGTATGTTCCATACTCAAACTTTGTCGAGTTATCATGTCCTCTCAGGGGAAGGAGAAATATGTCCTGCCGACCAGAGGTTAAATCTTCAACTTTCGTGCTTGAAGAAACCAGCGAATCAGAAGGTTGACCTGTTGCATTAGAGCTCCCGATTCTAAAAGAGGATGAGTTGAAGTGCTTCTCGAGAGTTTTCCTTAGAAGCATGAGCTTTGAAGGAGAAAAATCTTGTCCCTGCAACCTGTTCAATTAGAAAGGCACAACAATGTAAGGTTCTTAGATTATTTAGAGCAAAAGAGTACAGGGCCGATTTAGGTGTGGAAGTATTACATTCTTGTAACACAGCAAAATAAATGCTATTTTTAAAAGGAAATAGTAAATGCTTTTACCAAGATAGAAAATGCCATACATCTCTTTGTTCAGCAACATAGAAATGAGCATATAATTTCCCTTAAGTAACAAAACAATGATTATGTCAATGGCTAATTCTCACCTAGCATGCACAAAACAGAGATCAGAAATATAGTCTTCACTGCCCAATTGGTCTTCATTTTTTTTCCTTGTCTTGAGATGCTGATGACGTTAACACGGATGGATCAGGTATGTTGTGCTTCAATAAATCAACCTGTGAAAATGTATTGGAACATCCATTCAGCCTTCTGCATTACTACCAGGTCCCAAAAGCTAAGTTATTGTGAACTATTTGGGATACGGAAGAAAAAAATGTGATGGGAGAAACAGGTTGTGGGGGAATAGACCCCCTATACCCTCATGGGTATACATGGGCCGCACCACCGGAAGTGGCCCAGCCCGCAAGGTGAAGACGTGCGGAGCACGACATTATATTGTAATTGTACCAAATTGGATACTTTACTTGTAACCTTGTCCCTTCGGAATATATAAGGAGGGGCAAGGGTCCCCTAACGGACAAGATCATACAGATCATAACAGATCTCACCCCAGATCAATACAAATAACAGAGCACAGGACGTAGGGTTTTACGCCACACTGGCGGGCTGAACCTGTATAAATCTTGTGTCTTGTGTCTCTGTAACCATCTGTTTCTTGATTACGCGCATCCTACCGATAATCTACCACCACGGGCACCCCCCTCGGTGGACTGCCGACCATATTTCGTCGACACAGGTGTGATGGGATAGAATCATTAGAACGCTAGAACAACAGCTCAAGTTTCTTGGAAATTAGGTGAAAACTCGGATCCTGAACCTACAGATATAACTTCCTCTGTCTTCCAGACGGGCTAATGAAAGAATGACGGAAGGTACAAATTATAGAAGAGATAACTTACTGTAAGCATTAGCTCCCACATGGACAAATCATTCATCCCTTCTGACACGACCAACACTATATTACAAAAAGATGCCAAGAAAACACCAAGCTACAGCAATTCCTTGCAGAATAACAGAAAATACCAATCAATTTTTAGGTATTTCCAATGAACCAGCAGTAGCACAAGTGAGTTTAATAATTGTAAATACAGTCTTTACCTGGATTCCCATTAGTTCATGAGCTAAGTCTGCTGATAAGGGTTCACCATTAAGGACAGGAACTGTGGATGAACCATCTGGCCTCATCATATCGATTAGAACAGAGGGACTATACACTGGCTGCAGGGCAAAAGAGGTTTCCTTTCACAAATTGGTAAGCAAGACACTGATAACCGGTTCTAGCATTCCGATTGCAAAAAACAGAAGAAAATTAATGTCATCTCACCTGAGCGTCAAGGAGTATAACTCGCTCATTAGATATCCTGATGTCAATACCAGTAGTACAGTGTTTCCCCATCAATCTTGTTTCCTCAGTTTGTGTAGGAAAAGGAGGAAGCATTCCTACACAGAATGTTCAAAGGAAATGAGTTTTTAGCAATCTAAGATTTTGGTGTCGAACAAAATTTGAACCAAAATAGGAGTGCTCTTTGTTTAACTTCTAAGCAGCATTCGTGACACTAAAGAGGCTTTATAATGTGCACACTGTGGTAGATAAAAATCTGAGGACAGCTAGATATTGCATGGTGGAAACATTAAGAACAATGTCCATGTGATCGATCGCAAAGTGCATCAACAGAATAATCATTAGAAGTGCTTCTCAGTATAAGAACCAATGAATCTAAGTGATGGAACGACGCATAAAAGAGCATAACAAAAGTGAAGTTGTGTCGTACCAGGTGAGCTTGCATCATATCCGTAAAGCTCGTTCATGATGGTTGACTTGCCTACACCGGGTGGGCCAATTATCCCAATCACCATAAAATCATTGTTCTCCGTCAAATACTGCAAAAACATGGCTGGGGTTAGTAAGGTTCGAGGAATAATATCTATATCTATTCATTAAAAAAAAACTGATCACTAACTCTATCACTATTTAAACCCCATATGTTCTAACTGTATCAGCCCCGTGATCACTAACTGGATCACAATTCGCAATTTCACATTACATATGCATATATAAGTATGATCAGTAGAAGCCAAATAACATCTCAGTCTTCATATGCCAAGGAAGGGCATCTACGGAACGATGAAGCACTAACAAATTAGAAACAACCCAGCGCCCAGAGGAGGCTTACTAAAACCAACAAATGCAACATTCAGGGAAAAAAAAACTACCCGCAAAAATGGATTAAGCTAACAGATACACTGACCAACGCTGACATAGCAACGAAAACGCTAAGCGAAGAAATATCCGAGACCTAAAGCTATCTACAGCCCAAACGGATCAGCAAATCATTTCTTTCCATCGATCAGTGCACCCTAGCAACCGCCTGGCATCGAGACTGTGAGCAATCGCGCGGGAGCGGCACGCACGCACGCACCGGGAGGATCTTGTCGGTGTGGGCCTCCCACGCGTCGGAGACCAGGCTGAGCGACCCCGGCTGCGTCGCCTGGCGCGCGCGGCCCCCCGCGCCCCCGCCGGCGCCGTCGTCGTCGGCGCCCGCGGAGGCGGCGTGTGGCAGCGGCGGCTTGGCGAGGAGGATCTTGGGCGGCGGTGGGGGAGGCGGGTGCTGGTGGTGGGAGGCGGAGGAGGAGGAACCCCGGTCGCCGGCGAGCGGCGAAGGTCCGGCGGCCATCGCGTCTCGGGCGGGGGCGTGGGGCGCTGCTCTGCTCTCCAGTAGCACTAGCACGCGTCGCGTCTCCTCCCCCATAGAGGAGGAAAAGACTACCTGGGCCTCTTCATGGGCCAGATTTCGTTTCGGCCTTGTTGTCTCTTCAGCCCACGCACTAACCTCTGGGCCCGATTATTTCCCTCTGTTTGTCTCGTCTCCGTCTTCCTCCTCCACGTGTCATGGTCCCAGGCAACTCACCACCATGTCACCTTCACCGTGGGTCCCCCACCTTACCCCTCTCGTGTCTCATCTCGCCCTCTCCAGAACCCTCTCGCCCCTTCCCTTCCCTCCCAACCGCCCGGAGCAGAGGCCGCACTAGCTGAAGAATAGCGAGCGAGACATTCCATTGGGCGCGGCGAGGAGGGACGGGACAGCAAGGAAAGGTCATCTCCAGTGGCGGACCCAGGATTTTAGAGCAGGGTATGCCCATGGCGAGAAAATAGTGAAGAATCGCAATTTTGAGACCTTAACTATATTGTACATGTATATAACTCCATGAACTACTAAACATTTTCTTAAAAATGTTGGGTATGCCCGGGAATACCCGGGCACAACTGTAGGTCCGCCCATGGTCATCTCTCTCCCCAAGCTCCTTGCCTGCCCGAGATTTGAGCTGCTACTGCTGCCCGCCTCCTTGCATTTCGTGGTTCCTATCCCTTAAGATCTAAAGAAGACAAACCCAGGGGGGTTATGGCCCCGGTATCTTCGGTGCTCGGATATCGCCAGCGACGCCGGGGACTCTTGCTCCTCGGTGCTCGGACATCGCCAGCGACGCCGGGGACTCTCGCTCCTTGGTGCTCCCTGGTGGTCAGATCTTGCTACGTCTCATCGGTGTGCTATCAAGTTGCTTCATGTTGTTCGGATCAGGTTGCTGATTTTGGGCAGCACGTCTAGGGTCTTGATACGCGCATGTCAAACGACGTCGGCAAGCTTTCAGACTTCTTTTTCTTTGACCCTGCTACAAGATTCATTCTTTATCTTTCAGCAGGCTCGGGGACTAAGTGGGCACACTTCACCTTGCGGTGAATGTGCGCTTTTCTCATCTCGAGGCTACGCCGGGGGACTGGCTACCTGCTCGGCTGGTCTTCTACTTTCTGACCCTGGCACCACGTGACTACGTCACCTACTGTCAGGCTCGGGGACTAGCTGTGGGGGTATGGCACCCGGTATCCACAAGATAAGACATGAGCCGCACCATCAGAGGTGGCCTGACCCACAAGATCAAGGCGTGCACGGCGCTGCTCGGCATGCACCCAAATAGGATACTTTCCTTGTAACCCTGCCCCTCCAGAGTATATAAGGAGAGGCAGGGGTCCTCTAGTGGACACGATCCATACACCTCATATTCAATACAATACACCAAAGACACAGGACATAGGGTATTACGTCGATCAGACGGCCCGAACCTGTCTAAATCGCTGTCTCTGCGCCTTGTGTCACCATCCGGTTCCTGATTACGCGCATCCCCACCGACAAATCTATCATCATGGGATACCCCTCGGTGGACTGTCGATCATCTTTTGTCGACAGTGTGTGTGTGCGCTCTGTGCTGACGCAATGTTCATACAGTAGCTTGTGTTCACCTGCCTGTGATTAGTCTAGGAGTGCACAGAAAGGTGCTAGCTCGTAACTCGAAAGTTAGGAACTCACATTTGCCACAACTCTGAATCTGTAGCGCCTACACGCAGCCTGCTCGTTTGCTCGTAAACGATCGTAAATTTCCAGCCGGGAACAATATTTTTCTCTCACACTAAACCAGCCAGTAGTAAATAATGCACGATACGATACAGCCTTCCGAACAGGCTGACGAGCCAAACCCATTGGATTTATTAAGGATCATGCATGGACATTGGCATGCAGTGGCATTAATTTGACCTGTTGGCTTGGCTGTTGACAGTGGCCAAATTGCAATTGTCTCGAGTGTTACCCAACTGGCCTCAGAAATTTGCTGGGCTTCAGTTTACCTACTCCTTATAAACAAATCTATCTTTTACAAGTGAGTTCAGCAGAACGTATATTCAGCGCCAAATTTGATAAGTCTGCGTATTGTTGAATGCATGTAATGTGATATAACCTTGACTATTTTAATTGGGGCCTTAGAGTACAGCCCACGAGTTACTTGATATCAAGATGGACATAACCACAATTTCATTCAAGCTGTACCTTCCATTTTGATGCAGTACACTTTTCTTTTATCAAAACTGCCAGCTTGTATTGATAGAGATGATATGGAAAGTTTTTTTTTCTTCTTCAAAACTGCTGGTAGGAAAACTGAAGTTATAAAAGATATCTAAAAAGTTAAGAAGACAAAATAAATAATTTTTTTTTCGAAACTGCCAGCTTGTATTGATAGAGATGATATGGAAAAGTTTTATACAAAATAAACAAGATGATATGGAAAAGTTCAAAATAAAAAGGGAAGTGTGGCTGCTGGGATTCGAGCCCAGGTCTCCACGGCCACAACGTGGAATTCTCACCACTAAACTACAGCCACTTTGTGTTAAGCTCTCTGATGATTACAATTTTAATTGAATGCTAGTACGGCACACTTGGAGCAAACTTCTTAATGTTGCATGATTATTTTAATGGGGTCCTTAGACAGTTAGAAACTACTTAGAATCCATTATTGACAACAGTGATTATCATGGATGCTCGTATACCGCCATGGACAAAACCACAGCGTATCCAAATTCCCTGCCCATTTCCACACAGTACACTGGTAGTGTAAAGGATGACTTGGGGTTGCGGGGCATGCTTGCTGCTGATTGCATTTTCAGTTGGATCGTGTACTTCGTGGAAGCTGGTGAATGTAAAACAAGGTTTACTAGCCCTTTGCAAATGGTAAATATGTCTCGATGTTCCGTTATTTTATTTGTAAACCATGCCTCATATGTGGTACTTGCCTCTTTTTTCCTGTCTTGCATTGTGCATATTGGGATAAATACACTTGTTATTCAAGCATCTAGTAGTTTGAGCAACCTTTCTTCCATGTATGTGGTACTTCCCTTCCCTGAATCAGCAACCTTTCTTCCATGTATGTACGAAACTATGCAGTTTCAGCAATGTCTGCCAAGTACATCATCACCGGTCTAGCTGCTTCCTTCGCGATCGCATATGCTTCCGATGTCCTAGTGGCACAAAAGAAGATTTTTGGAGGTAAGGGTCATCTGATGACCTCAAGTTATCACCGCAAAGCACCTCAATGTCCTCAATCCTCACGTTAACATTATCCGTGTTACTTACATGGTGAGCAGGTACGACGCCAAGGACGGTGGCGGACAAGGAGTGGTGGCAGGCGACGGACAAGAAGTTCCAGGCGTGGCCTCGCACCGTGGGCCCACCAGTGGTCATGAACCCCATCAGCCGCCAGAACTTCATCGTCAAGGATCTCAAGCCCTGAGGAGGTAGGGCGTATGGTATGGTGTTCATCAAAGCTTCAAACGCATGCGCAGCGTTGCCGTTCTGTTGTCACAATAGCTGCTGGTTGGTTCAATCATGGTTTCAGCTTGGCCTTGAAGCTTCTGACTCTGAAGTCTCCGTTGGCAGGCTCATGCTCCGACTTATGGACCAGACTGAACGTGGCGTTGGTTGCAGTTGTAATCCAGTAGGCTTGTAGCTGCAATTAGCTTACTGTACGCATGAAGCACTATGATGTACCCCAACTCCTGAACCACTGCCTGCTCTGAATAAAACAGTGCCAAGTCTGGCTTAATTTCCCCCTGTGTGAAGGAAAAAAGAAAGAACCTGAAGCAGCATATTTGCTTGAGACAGTGTTGTCCTGGAACCGGGATGATAACGGTAGCCTGAACTTTTTGCCAGTGCTCACTTTGTCTCTGGTGTCCAGTGATCTGTGTCATGAGAGGAATATGTGCCGTGTCTACCGACGCAAAAGATTTCGGGGCACCTCTTTCAACACCAGGCTTCCAGATGCCCTTTCTCCATGTGAAGAACACTGCGATTTTCTCGATGCGCTTTTCAGTGATATACTCACGCATGTCTCCGTGTCATCATTCAGAAACGCACGCTGCTTTCTCGAACTCAAGATTCGATGATCTGCTAGAGGTGAGGTGAGGATGGGATGACACGGCTGTAAAATCTTGGTAATTTTTGTAGCCCCAACACCCGCTCACTGCCTGGTCTGAGTAAAACAGTCCTTCGTAACTTTTGTCTAGTTCAAGTCTTGTTTAATTTCCCCCGTCTGTAAGAAGAGAAAGATCCTGAAGCACCAGCATATTTGCTGGCTTGAGATAGTGTCATCAACGGTACCCTGAATAGAACTTTGCTGTGTAGCCTGAACTTTTTGAGATGCCCGTGCTCACTCCGTCTCTGGTGTCTAGTGATCTGTGTCGCGCCGAATGGGTGAAATATATGTTTTGTTATTTAGTCCCATGCACTGATCAATTCAACTCAAATGTTTAAGTTGATGGAAACCAACCAACTCAACTTAAATGTTTAAGTTGATGGAAAGGACAGACAATTTACTTTATATTTCAACTGGCTCCACTAATCAGCGAATGCCGCCAGTTTTGATCCCACACCTCCACGACTTTTCTTTTTAGGAAAAAAATATATTTCTACAACTTTCTTTTTGAAAAAAAATACAAATGTGCTGGTACCTGCGGTCGATCCCACAACCCCGTTTCAAGGCTCATCCTCTCTTTGATGGACCAGACTGAACGTGGCGTTGGTTGCAGTTGTAGTCCCGTAGGCTTTGTAGCTGCAAGCTTTTTTTTTTACCTATGAATGAATTATGATGCACCCTTTCATCAAAAAAATTATGATGCACCCCTGGCCAACTCCTGTCCGCTTCTGTTGTCTAGTGCAAGTCTGGTTTAATTCCCCCTGTCTGAAAGGAAGAACCTGAATCAGAGCATATATTTGCTTCAGAGTTCAGACAGTGTCATCCTGGAACCTGTGCTGTGTAGCCTGAACTTTCTGAGATGCCCGTGCTGCTGCACTCTGTCTCTGGTGTCCAGTGATGTGTCGCGCTGAATGACGGGAACATGTGCCTTGTCTACTGAAGGAAAAAGTCTGGGGACACCTCTTTCAAACTCAAGCTTCCAGAACACTGCGTTTTCTCGATGCGCTTCTTCAGTGACGCTCACGCATGTCAGCGTGTCATTCAGAAAACGCACGATTCGGTGACACGGCTGTAAAATTTGTGGGAATCGCAGGCGCCCGGATGTCTGATCCGGGGCGTTAGCGTCGGATGGTACTCGCTTAGTTAGCGGAGCGAGCACCCCAGCGCGTCGGCTCCGTGGGCAAGCGCCCCCGCAGTGGGTCCACGCCGCGCATCGCTTCCGACGCGCATCTCATATGCAACCCCTGGTCTACTTTTAAAATATCTAGATGAAACAGTTGCAACATGCAAAGAAAACAGATGAAACACTTAAAACATGCGGCTGAAAAACTTACAAAAACACCTGAAACACTTGATAATCATTGCAAACATTCAGATGAAACACTTGCAACAAATGTATGAAACACCTGAAACCAATTAAAAAATACGCTTACAACATGCATGTATATGCAACATCCGGATCTACTTTTGCAACATTCAAATAAAAATACTTGCAGCATACATCTTATACTGATGAAATATTTAGAACATACACTTGAAACATATGTGTATAGCCATTGCAACATGTGCAATATTCTGATCTACTTTTGCAACATCATGATCTACTTGTGCAACACCGATACGAGCAGTTACAACATATCTCTGAAACATCTGAAACACCTAAAACATATGTTTGCAACATGCATTTTTCGCCCTTCTTCCGTGTGACGCAGAGCAGAGCGGGGAACGGCTGGGTCCAGTCAGTCGGCGGCAGAGGATGGTGGCGCGGCTTGGCAGTGGCTAGCTCCGCTTGCGCCTGGCCTGGGTCCGACCAGCAACGACCTTCTCTCTTGGCCGCTTGGCGATGGGTCACGACATGGCGCGGCGGGGGACGGAGGCGTCACGGGGGATGGGAGCGCCGCAGGGGATGGCGGCGGCAACGCGCCGGAGTGGGGCGCGGCACGGGATGAAGGCGCCACGAGAGATGGCGGTGGCGGCGTGGCGGAATAGGGTGAACGAATGCAACCGTGTGAAGCCACAACGGTCGAAGCGAGTGGGGAATTTCTATGTAGCGTGCTCAGTAGAAAGTAGAGAGATCGGTAGAGCATAAAGGGAGCAGGTCAGTTGTGTCTTGGACCAGACCCCAAAAAAAACGCGGCGTCCGAACGGCCGGTCGTGAGCATTACCAAAAAATCATCTGATATTCGTCGTATCCAGAAGGAAATTACTACTTCCCCAACAAAAAAAAAAACAATGCTAGATGGGACAATTCAAACTTTCTTAAACTTAGCAGCAGTAAGCCAGTAAATCAAAGTTTATTAAGTTTAGACAAGTTTATAAAAGAGCAAAATTCACCGCTGGTCCCGAACTTGGTCGGCGTTGTCATCTAGATCCTGAACTTCTAAAGTGATGTCTGTGGGTCCCTAAACTTGGCATACGGTGTCATTCAGGTCCCTAAACTTTTAAGGTGATCATCATAGGTCCTTAAACTTGGTTGACGGTGTCATATCGGTTCCTGAATTTTCAGGGTGATCACCGTAGGTCCATAAACTTGGCAAGCGGTGTCATCCATGTCCAAATATAATAATATTAAAAGTTACCCATAGTATTAAAATTTTTCTCTATTATTGATACTATAATATTATTATTAAAACTTTTAATACCATAATACTATTATTAAAAGTTCTAATGCTATAATACTACTATTAAAATTAATTGTATTATAGTATTAATAATAGAGAAAAGTTACTTCTATAATACTACTATTAAAACTTTTAAAATAATACTAAAATTAGAATTAACTTTTAATAGAGAAAACTTTTAATACTATAAAAATTTTAATATTATTTTAATACTATTAATGATACATAAATACTAAATTAATTTTAGTATTTTCTATTTTAGTTTAAACCTAATATATTTGTTGTTGTAAATTATTTTAATACTTTAATTTATTTTTTGCTGATGTAAATTATTTTATATAATTTATATTTTCATGATAAATATTATATAAATAATGATTGATTAATTGACATATGCTAAGTTTAGGGACCTGCGGTGATCACCTTGAACCGTCAGCCAAGTTTAGGGATCTGCGGTGATCACTTTAAAAGTTTAGAGACCTAGATGACACCATCTGCCAAGTTCAGAGACCCACATATATCAATTTAGAAGTATGGGGACTTAGATGACACCGTCGGTCAAGTTCAGGGACCGACGGTGAATTTTCCTCTTTATAAAAAACAATCTTTTTGTGTCGTGTCGAATGACTGGAATATGTGCCTTGTCTACTGAAGCAAATTAGTCTGGGTCCGTCTCTTTGAAACTCAAGCTTCCAGATGCCGTTCTATGGTAAGTAGAGAGAGTACGCGTTACGTGAAGAAGCTACTGAGTGTTTCAGTAGGCAGTAGCCACCTCTTTTGCGTTGCAACAACATTGCGTTTTCTTGATGCGCTTCTTCAGTGACGCGCACGCATGTCAGCGTGTCATTGAGTCATTCAGGAACGCACGCTGCTTTCTCGAACTCAAGATTCGGTGATCTGCTACTAGGTGACGAGGGGGATGACACGGCTGTAAAATTGTCGTCAGGCAGGAGGCGTGCGTGACTGGAAAATCATCTGATATTCGCCGTATCCTAGAAAGAATTTACTCCCAAAAAGAAAAAAAAATACAATGCTAGGTTAAGACAAGTCAAACTTTCTTAAACTTAGCAGCAATGAATCAAATATTCAAATTTTATTAGGTTTAGATAGGTTTATACAAAAATATCAATATTATGTCTTCCACATATTTACTACTACTCATTGCACTCAAAATAAATACACATCTTGCTTATCTTGCTGTCCGAATAATCTATCTAGAATATGTAGAAAATAGTATCAATCTCTAAATAAGTTTATTATAAAACTATATTCGTCACTCTATCGCTTGGACATCCGGACAGACACTCGCGTCCGGATGCCCGCGGGTCGGTTTCTCCTCCGTTTTCGCGCGGCCACGTGTTGGCCCGTGTAGCCCGGACTTTGCTCGACCATTCTTGTGTCACCCGAGCCCACGCGGGGGCCTACGTCGTGCAAATGTAGCCCCGTGCGGGGACTGGTCGCGGCTCCTCTCGCTTCCTACGTGCATTCCATGTGCAACACCCGATCTACTTTTAAAATATCCATATACAACACTTGCAACATACAAAAAAAAACAAATGAAACACTTCAAACATGCATCTGAAACACTTGCAAAAACACTTGCAAACATAGGCAAACATCCAGATAAAAGACTTACAACATATATGTAAAATATATACAACATCCAAATAAACACACTTGCAATATATGTAAAAAAAATAGATGAAACATTATATATATACACTTGCAAACAAATATATAAAACAGGAAGAAGCCCTGGGGCAGAGAGAGATATATAAAGCAGCGCAGATTCGCTGACTTGATTTGCAGAGAGCGGGTGGGAGGTGGGCGGTGGCACGCAGCCAGCGGCGTCGCGTGGGCTTCGCCTAGGCAGCCGTAGCCGGCCTCCTTCCCTCGCCCCTCTCTGTTTCTTGCACCGACCGAGCAGAGCAGCACACGCCTGCGCGGCTGCGCCGCCGCCGCCCGGGCCGCGCCCTATAAAACTGCCGCGCCCGGGCCCTGGCTCCCCACCGTGTTGCCACGCCATTGCCCACCACCCGCTGCAGTCTGCACACGTCGCCACCCGCACGCAGCATCGAGAGCAGAAACAAAACAAAGGATCCATCGAGAGCAGAGCAGGGTTGAAAGTTAAAAGGACTGTACGGACAGCTCCTCCGTGCTCCCCGGTCCGTTCCTCTGCCGATCAAAAGTCTGTGTTCAGTGCGTACACAGCAGCTGCTTGTCCATGGCCACGAGAGCTCTCGCCGCCGCCGTCGCCGGCCGCCGTGTGACCGCGCATGCTGGGCTCGCCGTTCTCTCCTCCGGCTCCTGCTGCAGGTAATTAACAGCCACCTCTGCTCCGCGGATCTATTCAGGTTGGCGGATCCATGGAGGGAGGCATTTCGATTAGCACACAGGCTGCCGGTCTTTCTTTTGTTTTCGCCCCGGATCTTGCATCTTTGCAATCGCAACCTTGCCAGTGGCAGGCAAGGCAGCACTGCATGCATACGACCCTGACCGACATGCCGGCGTCGATTTTTTGCAGGCGCGGAGGAGCAGTGCAGAGCTTTTCCCACAGCACTGCCGAGCGGGAGCGGGAGGGCCACGCCGACGCCGATGCCGACGCGACGGCCGCCACCGCGGCGCAGGTGGAGGCGGCGCTGAACTGCAAGAACGTGGAGGTGGTCCAGGGGGACCACTCCGCGACGCTGGTCGCGGCCGACGCGGCCGAAGAGCTGGGCGGCGTGGGCGACGGCGCCGCCGGCGCCGACGACGCGTGGGTGCCCGACCAAGAGACGGGCGTCTTCGTCCCTGCATACGAGGCGTCCGGCGACGGGAACGGCAACGGCAACGGGCATACCGTGTCCGCGTCTCCGTCGGTGCTGGACCAGGCGGTGTTCGTCCGCGAGGAGGACATGGAGGACGTCGAGAGGCCCGCCATGGGCACCGTGGACGTGGCCGACGCCGGCACCGGCGCCAAGTGATGAGCGCGGTGGTCGTGTGGCTTTGCCGTGTCCTCGGGCCGCTGCTGCTACTGGCAGAGTGGCAGGCAGCAGAGTAGCTGTAGGCTGTAGCAAACAAGGTTTTCTAGCTTCCTGTTGGATGGAATAAGTCAAATTTCAAGTCTCCTCTTTGTGCATGGTTGTTCAAGGTAGCAATATAGAGCTCCATGAATTTGCATCACAACGCCCTGGCCATGGGCGACGATGACGTCGTCTGCCTTCGTGATTTGCAAGGGGACGATTATAACGAGACAACTATATTATTTTTGAAGTGTTTTTTTAAATGATATAATAATTTATTTATTATAGTTTCCTGATTGTTTGTGATCTGATTTAAACTGAGCTTAACGTGCAGAGTGAAAGTCCAAAGTCATTCAAAATGAACTCATTTATATTTTAATTAAAAGAAAAACAAGTTCAACGAGCCAAGTTAACTGTTTTTTGTCCAGCCTTGCCCATGGAGACGTGCACCCATCTCCATCCACGATACTCTGCATATACATGAGGCACATAGACATGTGCACAGTGCACTGTATATCTCCCCTACAGCAGAGACAGTGTGTCACCAGGGCGTAGTCCCTAAGAGCCTGTACAACAATTGGCCTATAGCCAAGCTAATTAATATTTTTGCCTACTAGGTAAATGCCCGTGTGTTACAACGGAAACACATAATACCATGATAATATATGTATGAACGTGTATTATACTGTTATCTAAAATAGATACCGCAATCATAATGTTCCAATCAATATTACATAAGTCTTCACAAAAGATAGATAGTTAAAATATAACTCTAAATTTGAATGCAAAATTAAAACATCAATTTCAATTGTCACATCACTTCATGCCTACGATTGTCGCATCACAAGTTTGGATTAAAATCAATTTCAGCAGATGGTGACGACGCGGTCGTGCGTGATTGGCGGCGTGGGGTGATCACGGAATTGATCACGATTGTTACGGGAATTGATTTTTGCCTTCCTGATTTGCTGCGGCTGTTACAGGGATTGAGCTAATCGCATAGAGCGAGTGCGCGTTGCCTTTCTGATCTAATCGCATGGAGCGGCTTTGGTGTCGCACCTGTGAACGGAATAGTTATGAATATTATTGCAGAGATAGAAAAAAAAGAAAAGGAGCACATTTAGCTTCCAATTGAGTAGTTGACCATGGTGTAATGAAAAATGTAATTATAAACATTATGGTCTCGATGACTGATCATGCAAAGGGAGACTATCCTAGTTTCATAAACATCATCAGAAAATTGTCAATAACTAACAGGATATTTATTACAGTGTCCACATAAAAAATAAAACACTGACAGGTCCATGAAACATGGATCGACGGTGTGGTGTGTGAGCGGTCCACCATGGACCGACTCGGGTATGGGTCCTTGTATTTTCAATGTATTTCCTCTTTTATTCTTCTGAAGAAAAACGACAAGAAAGTGTGGACATGTCATCCTGATGTTATCAAGCTAACAAGCTAGGAACGCTCGTGCAAAGCAGAGCACGGAACAGAGCACGGCCGGTGCTCGGCGGCCATTTCCCAGCAACGCGAGCTTGCGGTTGCGCAGTGTGCCTTTTGCGAGCGCGTGCGTGGAGAAGGAGCGCAGGGGTGCGGGGAAGCTCACCTACTACTTACCAAGGGCAGAGGAGCAAGGCCGGGACTGGCTGTTCCCCGGAGCGAGCTCACGCTTGGCAATGGCGGTGCGACGCAGGAGTTCACGGCCGTGATGCTTGTGCTGCCCAGCTAGTAGTGGTGGGCTGGTGGTTCACGCTAAGGAGCTCGGCCGCTCGCCATGATCACCGATCTATTGTAGGCTCCGCGGACTGCAGGTGGCAAGATCGGCGATCTGTTGCAATGGACATCGGAGCGACATCCTGATTCCGCGTGCCTGGCGTGTGTTAGCGGCGGTGGAGACCTGAGCCCGTGGCGGCGCAAAGCAGCAGCGTCAGTGGGGAGGGCACGGCGCCATGCAGACTTGAGCAGGGTGATTCGGCGACGGCTCCACTGGTTGTCATCGTCCATGTGCTTCTGCTAGGATTAGCCGTGGTCGTCTTCGGCCACGTGCTGCTGTTAGGATTTGGGTTTGGGTGTTCCGTTTTGCATAGCTGGAAGGGAAGACACATGGGGATATAGGGTCCTGGTGACGTACCTGGTGGGTGCTCGTCGCTAGCTCGATGTCGTGATGATGAGTACGCCAACGTCGTGCCGGCAGAAGCGGCGAGGCGACGGCGCTCAATGCCGTCGAGGTGACGAGGACAAGACGGGCGTCCGACGGGGCGATATGGGCGGGGCGTGGACATGGTGCTATTGAACGATGGCGTTGATCGGCGGACGGCGTGTGCGATGGCGAAGGTGGCGCGAGGGCCAGGCACGAGGAGGTGAGGACGCGGTGCCGTGTGACTACAGAGTGCCAGGGAGGTCGCAGTGCATGTGACGACGCGGTCTCGCGTGATTGGCGGCGTGGGGTGATCACAAAATTGATCACGATTGTTACGGGAATTGATTTTTGCCTTCCTGATTTGCTGCGGCTGTTATGGGGATTGAGCTGATCGCATGGAGCGAGTGCTCGTTGCCTTCCTGATCTGCTCGCATGGAGCGGCTTTGGTGTCGCACATGTGAACATAATAGTTATGAATGTTTTAGTTGTAGAGATGTGGAAGAGATAAGAAAGGAGAGAGAAGAGAGCTTGGCTCTCATACAAGCAACAAACTAGACACGGAACCATAGGCAGTAGTGGGTCCTAGTAGAGATGTACGTGAGGAGGAATAGGAAAGAGAATGAAGACATGTAATAATAAAGAAATTTTGTAGATAAATAGAAGGCTAACTATTGTATAGTTTAACTCTTATAACTTGGCTTATAGCCAAGCATTTGGCTCTATTATTAACCTTGCTCTAAAGAGCACCGTACGAACTCCAATGCTTAGAGAACTGAGCATTGAAATTAGGTAGAGCTTGTTTAGCTGCAGACCAATTAATTCACCTTAATTCAAAATGATGTAGCATGTCCTCCATACATAGCTTAAAACTATTGAACTGACTAGTTTAGAATGAGACCTGTCCACTAGCTGTCCTGGACCTAACACGAGTACTCACAATTTTATGGAACTCAACATTTTACACAAATAGCACATGTCCATATGGGTGTACATGTGTATAAGCATCATATTGAAAAATATGATGATGATTGCTACATTCTTATAAGCACCTCTATACCATACAATCATGCACTTAATGTTTTTCTTGTATTTTATTCACAACCAATTAAGTGTTGTTAGTAATAGAAGAGTATACTAATACTTAATTGATCAAGTTTATATGCAAATTACCATCTTGAGCTCAATAGCCAAAGTCATAGTTTGGTAGGGTTAACAACAAGTGTAATTCATTTCAGGCTTGGAATGGTTGCCTAAGCTGGTCTAAAGCTACATTAAGAAATAATAATTGGCCTCATTTTTTTCAAGATAGTAAGTTGTCTCATGATCTCAACACTAAGTTCAAAGGCATGTGGAGCGACCACATGAGAAATAGTCGAGAGTAAGCTTTTTCCTAGTACAGTAGTTCATGTGTGTGCCGGCACGCATATGTGTATGCGCGTGTGCATGTGCATGTGTGTTGTGTGTGCACGCGCGCGTATGCGTTGTGTGTGTGTGTGAATGCTACATTAAAAATAATAACTGGCCTTTTTTTCTAGATAGTAAGTTGTCTCAGGATCTCAACACTAAGTTCAAAGGCATGTGGAGCAACCACATGAGAAATAGTCAAGAGTAAGCTTTTTCCTAGGACAGTAGCCCGTGTGTGCGCGTGTACGCATGTGTGTGTATGCGCGTGTGCATGTGCGTGTTTTTTTAAACCTCTCATCTGAGGTACAGTTGTAGTATCCGTTCATACACGGACACACGTCCACACACCACACGCACACCCCACACACACCACACGTGTGCAAACTAGACCTACAACTACCCACAAATCAGAAGATCGCATCCATCTAGAGATCACCGCGACCATCCATGGCTCTGTATAGATCATCGGGACCACCCATGGCTCCATAGGTGACAGGCGCGTCGCAATTCCTTTGTGGCTCCATGCGAGAGAGGTTGCAGATTATTAACGGGAATAAATCCCGGTGAGAGACGATGTCGTAGGGTCAGAACCGTGACAAGCATGTTGTTCGAGTCGGTGTCAGAGTATAGGGCTCCGGTGGCTCGGGTGGACTCAAGAACACAAGAATCACATAGAGGATGCAATGGTTTATCCTGGTTCGGGCCAATCGGTGTCCTACGTCCAGCAGCTGATGATCCTTATACTCAAAAGCACCCAAAATTGGGGGGTTACAACAGGGTTGTAGAGAGATTTGGCAGGGGGTTAGCTCGGTGCCAATCCTAAGGTTACCTCACCATGGGTGGAGCCTTCCCCTCATCGGAGAGGAGGAAGATGATGGGATACGGTGGAGGAGCTCTCGGTGCCCCTCTGCGGGTTGCCTTGCTCTCGGTGCTGAGCAGAGGCCAAGGAATGGAATGGAATGATCTGAGTTTTGGTGATCGTCCCCCTGCCGAGGTCTAACCTTATCCCTTATATAACGAGATAGGTCGGGTACATGGTAGTTTGGGGGAACTAGTCTATGGTCTACATGCGCCCGAGTCCAGAAAGGCCTTGCAACGACGTGCTGTGGACCATGGCGGTGTCGTGGAGCCAAAAAAGCCTTGGGCGTCATCTGACTGCTCTATTCTGACACTCTGCGTGTCAGGCTGTGTCGGCTTGGACCAGCCTCCCCCGGGTGGACCCTCTGGAGGCCACTGGGAAGCTTTGTCTTCTTATGTCATGCCCCGTGCGTGACCTTATCGGGAAAGTGGCCGGCAATGCCGTGCCCGAGGGGCATCGCCGGGGAGCCCCTGAGCCTCGGTAGCTCAGGGCTTGTCTTCTTGTGCCCGGTCCTTGGATGGCATTGTTTGCCAGGCAGGAGCCAAGGGGTGGACC